TTGTCCGTGTGGTCGCGTTTAGGCTTCTAACTTACCATGGTTTTTTAAAAAACACTCAGAAAGAAATCCTTTAGCTGTACTAAACCATTTCAGCTTTTTCCTTGAACACACAGCAAGAATTTATGCTACACTCACAAAAAGATGAAAGATGAGGTCCTTGGAGAGAAAGGCCTTTTGGCACACTACATGGTAAAGCTACAGATTTGACATACTTTTATAATGTCTGCTTTGGCAAGAACACAAAAACCCCACACAAAAGCATGGTACGTCCTCCCAGACAGGGGTGTAGGGGGTGTTTTACTCTTGTGAGCATTTACTTTCAAATGCTCTCACTTCAGAGACTATTTTGATCGGTTACTTTAGACTAACAAATTCTCTTTTGCTATATGAACAGTTTGACAGTCAGACTACAATTCTCCTCACAGCCCTTTCTAACAAGAGAGAATCTTTGGCTGAAGTCCAGCAACAGCCTTAAATTTGTCACATCCTATTTTTGATGAATGATCTGCAGCAGTTTTAAGATCATAAAGTGCTTTGAAAGTTAAAAGAAAATTTTCACAAGTAGTAAGCTTTCACTCTCTTTATAAAGGTATTCAAACTAAATTTGCTAGGAGATCCTTTCTACTTCTGCATCTCAAAAAACCCGCACAAAACAATCTCCTGGCTGAGATGAAAAACACGGGAAAGAGTTGCAATGCACTTCTCTACAATGTGTCAATAGCACAGAACTGGCTATCTAGGAGTGCTCAAGTTAGCTTAAGCAGTTCTCTTCTGTAAAAGAAACAATAAAAGTTCTTTGTCATTTACTATCTCAGCTTCTGTGAGGTTTCAGTATTATGAAATGCCGCAACAAATACAAAAATCACAATCTTATAAAACGCTTTTTTCCTTCCTTTACACAGAGAATAAAAATAGGAAAAGAAATCCAGTAAAATAGCTGCATTTCATAAAAAGCTTTTAATTATCAACATCATGTAACAATTTCAACGCATGACAGAAGATCATGCACCAGAGACACAAAACTTATCAGTTTTACTTTGAGCCAATATTTTCCCTAAAATATTTCATTTTTACAACAAAACCATGGCTATTTTTCCCTCTTTTTCTGAAAGTAAATGTGTGGGAGCTGGTGAGAAGCATTAGAATTGCAAAGTTCCTATGCCTGACATACTTATACCTGACACACACAACACAGATTTCTCCCTAGACAAATTCCATGTCCTGTTACTGTAAAAACACAAGCTCTGTTCTCGTTTGCAGCTTCTCACTTTTGGCGAGGAGGCTCCAGAGCAAAGCATCCCTACAAAGAGGGAGTCAGGGGAGAGGAGGCCTCTAAGGATGAACAAGGAGCTCCTGGACAAACTAAACACAAACAGGCAGCTTCCAGAGGGTGGAAGCAGGGAAACATGGCCTGGAAGGAATGCAGAGGAACTGCTTGAACAGCCAGGCATCAGGTTAGGAAAGCTAAAGCCCTGCCAGAAGTAAATCTGGCCAAGGACATCAAGAAAAGCTTTTATAGGTACATTGGTAATAAAAGAAAGAACAGGACAAACACATGTCCTCTCAGAAAGGGGAATAACCAGCTTCCATTGAAACACCATTAGACAGAAAAATGGTTTGGTGTTGTCTTCTCCTAAGGAAATATATTTTTAATAAGAAATACTCATCTTCGTGTGGCCAGTCAGAGTTGAAGCTATCCTGCTTAATAATTCTCAAAATAAAAAAGATACCACATTTACTTAAGTAGGAAAAATCTGTAAGTTTCCAAGACTTGCGAATTCAACAAAGAAAAGCACAAAAAACACCTTGAATTACAACCAAATGCTGGAATTGTATAATCTACCAAAGGTTTCATGTACCAAAAATACACAATGCTGAGCACAGATGATTATTATTTCTAAACAGTCTTGAGGGGAAAGGACAGTGAGAGCACAGGAAGCTGATCCAGTGATCATTTCCAGTCTCAGTTCACACATTTCACTGTGGTTTAGCAAAGTTCTGCCTGGACTAGAATAAAACAATGTTTACTTTTTCAACTTCTTTGGTTTCAATGACATTTTTCTCTTTGTACCTTATTAAGTGTACAAAATATTCCCCAGATGATCCTGAAGCTCACATTTCTATGAATCAAACCTTAGGATCACAGGACAATTGAGGCAAGAAGGAACCTTGAGCGAGCTCTAGTCCAAACTCCTGCTCAAACACGGGCCAGGTGTGAGGTCAGACTGGGTTCTTCATGGTTTTGAAGCAGTTTGGTCTTGAAAACCTCCAAGGATGGAGATGTACAACAGCTCTTGAGTGACCTGGTGTAATAGTTGACTCCTCCTGGTGAACAGGTTTCCCATATTCACTCAGAACATCTCCTGTTCCCCTGTGGCAAGCCTGGACACCCCATCCTGATGGGTATGAACCTCCCAGAGAATACTCACACATATACCCATATATATACCAATATATATATACCCACATATATACCCACATATATACCCATATATAATACCCACATATGTACCCATAAATAATACTCATATATATACCCATATATAATACCCATACATATACCCACATATATACCCATATATGTACCCACAGCAGGGAATGCCTCCTCCAGGCTGCAGCAGCCCTGCACTCCTGTCTCCTCACACTGAAGTGCTGCAGCTCCCTCACCACCTCTGCAGCCCTCCATTGAACTTGGGCTGGTTTGTCGGTGGCTTTTGTGGAATGCAGAACAGATTTTTCTCTTCTGCAGTTGACTGTGAACTTTGAAATACATTAAAGCTTAAAATTTCAGTTGATACTTCATAGTCACATGGAAACATCCTTTGCTACTTTCTCACTTTCCCAATTTGCTCTCCCATCCCACCATGGCTGGGGGAGTGGGTGGCTGCGTGGGGCTGAGCTGCCAGCTGGGGTTAATGCATGACAGCTATACTAATTCTTGAGTAACAAAATGGAGGCAAGTTTAACCATCCCACAAGCCAGGCAATCCCCTACACTACAGCAGTGACAGATTGGAGTAATTCTTTCTCCTCAAGACCAAGTCAGAGGACTGGTACCAGAATTAGGAGCATTTTCAGTATCAACAGCACTATTATACTAGACACAAACTCCAGAACCAGCTGCCTTAGTTAATTTTGGGACCAATCAAATGGGGAGAAATAGTTTCAATCCTGCCTGACAATTGGCTTCTTACACAACTTTTATGCATTTTACTTTTCTCAATAGTAGCTGCTCCTTGCCATATAACATACATTCCCTGACTGCAAGAAAAAGAAAACTTAACCTGTATTCTTAGGGTTTTGGCACAGAACAGACAGCCAAAAAATGGACACAGATTACATGGAAGTTTCTAGGTGTGTATTTCTGGAATGGTGATTTGCCTGGGATACAGTATACAGCTGACACTGAACAACACAACTTTCATTCAGAACAGGAGGACAAAATATTTGAGTATACACAAATCTAAGGCTTCTGAGAATAAAGAACACCTCTTAAGTACAAAAAAATCGGTTGGGAAAAATCTCCTAAAAGATTCTTCAGAGAGAGTAACTTCAAAATATACGGCTAGTAAAAACAATTATTAAAATTCTTTTTTTACTCTCTAAAAAGAATTTCTGAAGATTTTGCACCTACAAGTGCATACAACAAACCTAAAAACACAACTAAGTGAAACTCCCACAGAATCAGTTGGTTTATAGAACAAAATGTATACTAAATTCTCCAATTAAAAACCTGTAAAGTAGTTTCCGTGCTTTTTAACCCACCTTCCCTCAGCAGGGAATTAATCCCTCCAGGGGGATGCAAACAAACTTCAAAGAGAAGATTATACCCAGACACTAGTACTGTACAATGTAATGTTTATGGTCAAATTTGTTCAGATTTTCTGGCACTAGAATCCAGGTCAGATGTGCAGAAACAAAGACCAGTTATTAAAAGGGCTCCTGCAGTTACATCAAATACTTGTGATGGCACAGAGCAGTAGGACAAGCCAAAACTGTATTCCAGCTACAACTCCTATGGAGGCCTTGGCAGGCAAGGAAGGACTTGCAGCTATTTGACTTTCACAGACTGTAACAAATACAGATATAAAAGGAGATAAATGGCTTTCCAGTCAATAAAATAGAGAAATTCTTTCTATTGATTCATTACACCATATTTACCACACACATGTGATTGCTAAATAAAAGACAAAAGAAATGCTACTTCAGTACATGCTGACTAATCTTAATTGTTTATTGTTAATGAACTTCCTTTTTGTGCCATTCTAGAGACTGAACCCTCACAACTGTACCTTGAACTAAATTTTGGCATTATGAATTTCAACCTTTGCTTTTCCTGCTTATTTGTTCAAGTTCCTCAGGTGAGATAAAAGTGCAATCAAAAATTCCCAAATGTACTTACATGTTGGTTTCAGCAGTTATGGGACTTCTCTACCATAAACATAGGAATACTTATCAAAAATAATATTACAGAAAAATACTTGTGTAATTATGACGTGATAACAATGGTAAAAACAGTTAACCAAATCATAAGCTGCATCTGTGCCTAATTTCCAGAGAAAGTCACTTGATCAAAGGGAAAACTATGGGAGTAAATAAAAATACTTCTGTAGACAAGAAAGAGGAAGTAAAAACAAATTCCAAACAAGATGTTTCAAGAGTATTTTTTTGGTTTAGAACTACCCTTTTTTATATGAGCAGCAAACACCAATCTTAAAAAGCACTTACTTTTTCAACCTAATCAAGAAAAAAGTTATTTCTATTTTAAAAGACAAAAAGAGACAAAACAGTCAAAGAATCCTGAAAATTATCCACAATCAGGTACAGAAACATAAATTTCTAATTTTTACTCCTAATTGTAAAAGATTCCACAGAACAAGTAATTAAGATATTTTTAAAAGCTAGCACAGCATAATGCTAAATGTATTTCATTATCTCACAATACATGGTTCTTAAGAACAGTTGTAGCCAATAAAGAGGTAGAAACAGTGCAAACAGTACCTTTCCCAAGGCAACTGACTCCTGAGTGGGTCACCTCTGCATACACCTCAAAGGTAGTTTCTGGATTTTGTCTGAAACAAGAGAAGGTATTTAGCACACTGAGCATTTGGTTTAAGTGCACTTGCAGTGAGGCAGTCAGAAAGGGCTCTCAGCATGCACACAGTACAATACCAACCAGAGAATCTCCATTTCTTGGTTTACAGCCCTGAATGATTTCTCATCAGACCTTTGGAAGGTGCTAAATACAGGGATTTTTCCGGGAAAAAAAAAGGATTGGGAACTTTTCACCAAACTGAAAAGTCACATTGTCCAACACTGAACCAACAGCATCCAGATTCACATTTTCATTACTGTGACCCTTGGCTTCAACTTCATGACATCTATTTGCCCAGAAAAAGAGGAAAAATAAAGTAGATGCAGTCAAGAGGAGGCAAAATCACTTTCTGCACACACTACTGAAAAACTTAAGAGGCTGTATTTAGGATGAAGACAGTGCCCCTTTTTAATACCTGTCAAAATATTTCTAGCTCTCTGCCAAAAAAAGGCCATGCTGGAGAATATTACAAATGCACGAGGTTTGGTCTCATGAGACTCCAGTCTTAACTCCAGAAATTTGCCAGATGCATGGAAATAAGTGTGACAGTCAAAAACCAAACCAAATTGAGCTAGAAGATGTAAATTATGCTTGAGGAAAGAGATTTACTTTGCTCAAGAGTTATAAATATACCAGTAGTAAAAGTAAAAAGTTAATGACATTACTACAAAACAAACAAAGAATTTAGTGTATATTTCCAGTTCTTACTAATTTAACTCTCTAAGTGATGTCTGGAATTACATCTCATAATGAGCATGCAAAGGCAGCAGGTGATTATATATGAAAGAATATTTTGACTTTATTCCTGACTAACAATTTTAGCTACTCCAGATATTTTTTATGAGATTAAAAAGACTGAAATCCTGAAATAAGGATTTTGCAGGTCTGAACATGTGACATTTTATTCTTAGACTTTCTGGCTAAAATTAAGAATCAAAATTGCATACTTACTGTTCCAAATTTACAGCTGCTTGTAGAGTGACAATATTGTCTCCTATGTGTTAATGCAAACTAACATTAGAAAATTGCTGTGGTATAACTTACTTGTGAATTTTGTAACTTCCTTACAGCTAAGGACAAAAATAATGACAAAGTCCATAAATACATATACTAAAATTCCTAAATGAATGAAAATTGAAAAATTAAACTCATCTTACCCAACAATTCAAACCAAACATAGAAGCATGTCGAGGAGTTCAGCTTAACTCTTCAGAGAATTTCTATTATTTTTAATCCTACTTTAACACCAAAAGGATTAAGGAAAACATTTCTAACCGTGCCACAGGCCCACTTAGCCTAACTCAAGTGGCTCTAAGCCAAACCCCACACCTATTTAAACTGACAGAAAAGCTACCACTGCTTTCAGTAGCACAGGATCACACTCCTCGGTTTTACAGAGCACCTCTCAGGAGCAACAATGGTTCACAACTCAATTAATGGTAATTTAATTTGCCACCAGTTCCCAACTGATTTGTCTTAAGTAGCTGTTTTTTCAGAAAACTACACTCATAAGTTATGAGAAATCCAAAGTCAGCTGTTATTGTGCAATATAAAAGCAAACTTGCACAATTCTCGCTGTGCTACTCAAGTTGCAGCCCATAACCTGCAAATACTGGGGGAAATACTGAAATACTGCAAATACTGGGGTTTAGCTCCATTCCTACAGCCACACTGTGGGGTGAGGATGGAACGACACCCACAGAGCACCAGGAATGTATTTTTCCTTTATACACATTGCTGGGCAGCCTTATCATACCCTCCTTGTTTATGTCTCTATTTTTAGCACCCTGTTTCCTTAATTAAAAGTTTATAAACTTTATATTTTTATAGCTGATGGTTAAAACAACAAACACCTTTTTAGTATTATGTTAGAACCCATGTTCAAATTCTTAAGTGAAAGCACCAGGTAACAGAGCTGGCAGGAGCACAGACCATATTCCAAATCTTTCAGACAAAAAGACATCACATTTTGTATTTTAATTTTCCATGACAAATGTCCATTTATTTCTATGAACAGTAAAATTAAAGTAGCCTTCCCAAGGGAGAAACTCAGTATTAAAGGCTGCATTCAACAACCAACACCTCAGTATGAGAATGAAGTCATTGTTGGATTGTGGCTATTTTATAACTTTTCAGAGGCATTAAGGAAACAACTTACTATGAGACTTCATACAGTTTGCAAATACAGCATAAACAGGATCAGAAATGTGTATTCTGTAGTCCAGTGTCACCAGAGCATTGCACAGAAACCCCAGCCATCCTCCACAGCACAGAGCCTTGAACACACACCAAGTTCCCTCCTCCCAACAATCACCTACGGACCCATGGTCACTTTCCAAGTGAACAATTAGATGCAATTTAAAAACTACATAGGACACAGAGGTACAAAGAGACATAGTACCTCACTTATTTGAGAAGTAGGTGATTTCAGAAGGAAATGCAATACTTCTCTGTAAACACTAACATAGGAAGGAGCTATATGAGAAAATAATACTTCTGTGATAAATGCTAGTTGTATGAATTACTTCAAATCTCTGATCTAGAAATAACATCAGTTTCAAAGCAATCCATATGAAATCCAATGTTACACTGAAATAAGATATTTCAAATAAGATATTTATGCACCTTTTATGATCAAAAAATGTAGTTTTACCAAACTGTAAGAGATTTACTCAGAATAAAATTAAACCAAGCCCTTCTCCGAAGCTGGATGGCTGGAAGTACAGACTTTACATATCTACAGCCTATTTCAATTCTGTCAGCAGCATTTTTGGTGCAGATAGGAAAATGCAATAGCACTTATGACAGAAAGTATCATTCTGCTGAAGAACTGAGAAGAGTCTGACGTTGCCTGATAATTAGTTGTCCTGTAACAAGACTTAGTTGCTCAACTCTTGCAGAAAGTAAATTATTAGCAGAAACCTGTAATCACTAATTCAATTCAGAAACTATAACCAAAGCCTTGATTAATTTCCATATATTTAACTTTCTTACCTGGTATTCCCTGGGTAGATAATATTTCATCTTAGTACATAACAAACATTCTGTTAAACCTCTGAAAGGTTTCTCAGATGTACACTTGGCATCTATTGTGCCACCAGTGAAACAGAACCACCTCTGGAAAGGGACATGCCAACTGCATGACAGTGCAATGCCATTCTGCTGAACAGACTGATATTGACACATTACTTAATAGAAATAAATAAGAAATCCTTTCTGTCGTGTAACATGGAGCTCAGAGGCTCGGGAGCAGTGACAGCAGCAGGTTAACAAGGCTCCTGTGCTGTCTCACCTGGCTGGCACAGAGTGCCTGGCACATTCCCTGAGACGTGCCCCAACACAGGATTAACCCAGCCCAACACTCAATGGAGCTTTTTTTTGCCTGCAGCTACACAGAAGCCAAAAGCTTACAGGACTGCTGGCAATTCCTTGATTTCTTTCACTTCAGTCTGATGCAGCTACTGATACTTTTCTCTAAGCAATCTTTCACTCAAATGACTCATTATTATACACCCATCAGAAATCTAACAGACAGATATGCCCAGGTTTCATGCAGAGTCTATCACAGTGCACACAAGGGATCCTGTGCCAAGCAGTTCAATATCCCTCAGTTATCAATCTACTGCAGGAAGCAAGGGATCAGACTGCTGGATGTTTACTGGGGCTCCAGCACACACTGGTGACACCCCTAAAGCAGATGTGCCTCACCCTACCCAGTACACAAACAGTTCTCCCATTCACACTCCAACCTGTCCCAATAAGGAAGTTACTTACCAACATTAAAGTCCTTGCTGGATTAAACATCCAGCTCAGAAAGGCAGACCAGAAAAGCCTCTTACTCAGACAGGCTCTCTCACTCTATATATTTTAAGACTGTTTTGCAATTTTGTCCTTACACTACTCAGGCACAGTGTTCTGTCCAAAGTGGAAAAAAAGCAGTTTATTAAGTGTTGCTCAAGGCAAAGTTGCTTAATCACTCAGTAGACAAAATGCTTTCTCACAAAGTCCAAGAAGAATGAAAAGCAATGTTTACCTGGGTTTATTGCCTCTTTATTACCTTTGCTACTCCGGTGATTGGGAAAGACAAGTTCACACTGAAAGACTTAGCACAGAAAAAGTACTTAACTCCACTGGCTGCACTAATTGTTTCTAACAGCTACATCTCCCTGGCACCAGTTTCTAGTTGGAGCATCTCACCTGCCTGACATTCTCATTTAGCAAAGTCTACTCAAAGCCCCACTCAGCAACCACACACCCAAAGATGGCAAACTCAGCCTGTGGATTCAGTGTGCACCACAAAACAAACTGCACTTTAAGTAAGCATCAACCCCTTAAAAAATTTAAGATAAGGTCATCATAACAAGTAATTTTGGATCATAACCTTGAAGTCATCCAAGCAAGGGTGACTGCTGCAGGGTCTGAAGGTGCAAGTCAGAGATACACTCTGCTCTGCTGCCGAAATACGTACAGTTTTCAATTCTACCTGTATTTGACTGTAAGAGTTTAACCAGTTTCTCAGGCTTTCATTTCTCCGCAGCAACAGCTGAGAACACATAATCCAAAAAGGTGCAAAACTCATGCCCACAGTATGCTTAAGGAAGGAAGAAAGGTTCATTCCTTTCTGGAACCAACCAATTGCCACAGTGCTATCATTACACTCATTATCCGCTTACATTTTCCTAAAACACCCAACTGAAGAGATGTGTTTTCATATACCCAGCCTATGGGCTTGGCAACATGAAGATATGTCATCACAAAAATTCTGTCCCCTCCAGTCTTGTATTCAAGTTGAAGAAAACAAGTGAAAAGTTAAAGCCCAATGTAATCCTGAAGAACACTGTGTTCAAGAAGGAAAAATAAGTGCTCAACCGCACTCGCTGAATAAAACAGGATCTACCTGGGTCTCTCCACTCTGTAACCCTTTCACACACAGAGATGTCAGCACTCCCTGCTTGGCAATAACTTTATTACACCTCTACCTGTGTCCAAGGAACTGAATTTTCCTGGAATGGCACACGAACAAACTAAGACTTTTAAAGTGAATATACCAAACATATCAACAAAGTTTACCAATAAATCAACCACCAATTTTATGAGAATTTAAAAAAAAACCCCCAACATTGAGGGCATGGATCTGCAGGCCCAGCACATCAATCACTTGCATCACTCCTTCCCCCAGACCCCTTTGCTAATGCACTTTGGCTATCTCCTAGCCAGACTGTAGTCCTTCCGTCAGCACACTCTGGGCAAAGAAATTTGTACTCCCTCGACCCCTCCGCACCCCCGAACAGGCGTCGGCTGTGCTGTGAATGAAGATGTTCCCAACGCAGCACCCCCGCCCTCCCTCGGGCCTGCACCGATAACATTGCACTGCGCTCCCCGCCCGGCCCGGAGAGCGGGAGGGGCAGCGGGCTCGGAGTGAGGCAGGGTCGGCTCTCGCCCCTCTCCTGGGGCAGGGCCGGAGGGTCCCGCCGGGGTCCCGCCCGGAGTTGGGCTCGGGCGGCCCGTCCTGCCCGTCCCTCCGGCCGGCGGGGCAGGGAGCGCTCTCTCCCCTTCCTTCTCCCTCTCCTTCTCGCCCAAGCCGAGGCCCACGGGCTCGGCCGGGGTCCCGCCTGCGCGGCCTCACACGGAGCGGAGGGAGGGCGGGGAAGTCAGTCCCCTTCTCGCTCTCCCGAGGGCCTGAAGCGGGGCTGGAGAGCTGCGGAGGGCACTCACTTGATCCTGGATCCCATGGTCTCCGGGGGGCCGCATAGACCCGGGGCGGAGCGAGACACGGGCGGGGGCCGCAGGGCCGCGCTCTGTCCGCCGCTCGCCCCTCACTCCATCCCGGCCCGCGCCGCGGCGCCCCGGCCGAGTCACGGCGCGGAGGTTGCCGGGAGCTGTAGTGCGGCGGGGCCCGGGGCGGGCGGTGTGTCCCTGTCTGGGGCAACCGGCAGGGAAAGGACCGGGCTCTGCTCGTGGTGCTGAGCCACAGGAAACCCGGCAACGGGCAGGAACTGATGCACAGCAAGTTCCACCCGAAAACTAGGCAGAATTCCTTCTCTGCGCGAGTGCCCGAGCACTGGAATAGATTGTCCCGAGAGGATGTGGAGTCTCCCTCAGGGGAATATTCCAGAACCGTCAGGACACAGTCCTCTACCATGTGTTCTCATGACTGTCTGGACAGGGAGGTTGGGCCAGATGCCCCAAAAAGTCCCTTCCTACCCGACCTATCCTGTATCTCTGTGACTGTGGCCGGGAGCGCCGGGGGTCGGCAATGGCAATGCGGAGTGGCCCCGCTCCCCTCAGGGGGATTCAGGCGGGAGCCCCGCGGCGGGACGGGCCCCGCTCTCCTCAGAGATATTCAGCCTGGAACTCCGCGGCGGGACGGGCCCCGCTCCCCTCAAAGGGGTCAGGCAGGACCGGCCCCGCTCCTTTCTCCTCCTCAGCTGCCCCGCCGCGTTTAGCAGCTGAAGAGCGGCCTGGAGTGACACGGAACAGCAGGGCCAGGCCGGGACTGACGGGGCCAAACCGCGTCACTGCCTGATCCCGAGCCCTGAATATCCACTGATATCCAGGCCAGATGAGGAGCAGGACTGCCCATCTTGGAAACCCCCGTGCAGAGGGGAGCCGTGCCCATGGGCACAGGCCGGAGTCTCAGGCCGGAACATGTATTCGATGTCCAAGAATTGCAGAAGTCAAAGGAGAGAGGCAGAGGGAGGGGCTGGGAGAGGTGCCTGTTCTGTGACAGAACACTGTGATAGATGAGCTCTGTGGGCACAGAGACCAAACTGGCTGAAAAAACAGTAAAACATGACTAGAGAGAATCTCAAGGCCAAGCAAGGTTATAAAGGGGACTGGAGATTTCTCAGAAAAGGAATGCAGTCTGCTGAGAACATGTCTTACATTGACTCAGAAATCGCAGATAGACAGCTTTTGAAACGTGCCGTGTTGAAGTCAGCAAACAGGAACAAACAGGTACCCAACTCTTTCATTAAACATGATTTACAGGAAGTTTTCAGGAAGGTTTGGAGGATTTCTAGTATAATGTAGAAATTTTTAACTTTATTTAGAGTTGAGGATGATCTGCAGTGAGGAATGAAAGAATTGAAAATTTGTCTTTAAAAGGCGTCTAAAGTGCAAATCCTTGTGCACAGCAAGTGCTTGGCTGAAGAACTTAGTCAGCTAGAAAGATGGCAGAGAGTATATCCCATCTGAGATCCTTTAATATCCCATTTGCTCCCCAGAGAGCCTGGGTAGGAAAAATCATACCACCTTCATTCAAATAATAAATTTAAAACATGTTAAACACTATGCAAAAAGACCTGGAAGATTATTCACAGTTACAGTAAGTCAAAGACATGTTTGGGGAGATGAGGAGGAGTGTTTCTGGTACTAATTTGAGTTCTTGAGATGAGGTGCTTCCACCACAGGTTCCACCCACAGCCTCTGCCACAGCAGCCATGTGTAAGCTCAGACCCCAGCATTGAGCCCTGCCTTGTTCTGTGCTGTGGATAGACCTGTCCCCAGCCCTGAGTCGTTGTTTGTTCCCTGTCTCCTTCAGTCATTCCCATATCCATGTAAAGTAGCTTTGTAACCAAAATTACTGTGTTCCAACAGGATATTCTAACCCTTTAAAGGGTGCACTAAGGGTTGCACATATAACCATCAAATGGTGGTGAGTTTACAGAAATATTGTTAAAATCGGTTGCAAAAGCAAAAAAAACCTATGGTCAGTAATGAGTTAAAAAATAAGGAAGCTGGTAAACACAATGCTGATGCAGTGTAAAATAACTATGTGGAAACCCCAGCATTTTAGGAGTGGCTGACAGAATTTCTTACATTTCATCACTCTTACATTTCATCACATGTTGCTTTTTTGGAACATGAATTGACATTAAATTTAAGAGGCAGAGCTACTCACAATTTTAGTTTTGGTCTGTTTTGTGTACTGAGCTTTTCAAAGATTTAAAGGTAAACTTATTAATATGAACAGATGTAGTAAATATTTAATGGGGACATGTATGCAAGAGTAGTAGACTGGTTTATATTTCATTGTTTTTAAACTGGACAGGCTAAGGAATAAAAGGCTGGGTGGTTCAAATGAACAATTTAAACCCTCTGCCAGAGAAGGGGAGCGGTTGGGAAGTAAGCATTCAGCCCAGTTTGGGGAAAACAAGAACTTTTTTTCCCCTTCTTTACCTGATGTATTCATGTAAATAAGCTGCTCATTAGATACCCCAAATCCCATTTTCTGCAACTGTCGATGCCCCCCCGTTTGCAGCTGGCCCAATGGTTGGTGTAATTGTGTCCCAGTGACAGGCCAGCAGGGACAGCAAAGCCCCCGAGGAGGGCGAGGGGTTCCAGCGATGCCTGCTGGCCTGGCCACGGAGCCCTGGGTGTGAGTGGCTCAGAATAGATGAGCTGATTAACTGTGAATCACCCTCCCAGAAGAGATGAAGCATTAGTAGCAAACAAAAGGGAAGCAGAAGGGAAACTTCAGGCAGAAGAAAATAATCCAGGAATTAAAAGCTTGGTGAAAGCCTTAGGATGCTTCCAGATTGACCTGAGCATCTAAGTTCAATGCCTTAGAAATACAGGTCTGATGCTCTAGGATGGATTTGGTGAATGTGGCTGAGCCAGTATTTTAGTATATAACACACACACAGCATCAAATGTACATGAGAACACAGTTACTGTTTCTGCTCCACCGTGACAACCCTGCTGAAGCACAATGTAACCTGAATTTACTGGGGACATTCTCCCTGATACATTTCAGCCAATGAGAATGGCGAGGGAAAGAATGCTGACTGTAGAGATCAATAGTAAAGCTTCATCTAAAAGGTTATGCCTTGGAAGAGAATATCCTGCTATCTGACTAATATTGATTATTATGTTCATGTACGTTTTTCCTAATTTGTCAGTGGATGAATATTAGGATGAGTATTAGAAACCAATGAAAAGCCTTTTAAAGGTATTTTTTAGATGTGAAGCAGAAGTTATTTAATCAACCTTAATTTTGTAATTCTTGTTGTTATCAAACAATGAGCCTCATGAGTTATGGATCAGGTCATGGCAAACAGCCTCCAGAAGTGTTCACATATGTTACTTGAGAAAAAAGCCTGTTCTTAATGCTCCCAGACTGGGATTCATCAGGCATTGTTAGGATAGCTGGTTACCCTCAGAGACATTCGCTTATGCCCTGAAACAAGAGAGATGTTGAAATCAGCCTATGTACCTGTTTGTAGGGACGGAAATAGGTTACGGTGACTAGTTTTCCATTACAAGTTAAAAAACAATAATCTGTAACTGCATGGAGTGAAACGGATCTTTAGAAAATACAGAAGAAAACATCAAAGCCAAAAAAGGGGGGAAACCCCCATCAAAATTCAGTTACAAGAACATAACCAAAGAGTTAAATCAAAGGCATTCTGTCTCCAGAACTGAATGCTAGGAGATGTTTAAGGAAGAGTGTAAGAATGTGGAAATATGTAGAAGTCTCTCACAGCCTCCAATAAATTAATGTGTTTTCTCAGCCACAGGTGCTGCTTCAATATAGCAGCTTTAGTGGGATCAGGCACTGGGCTGCACTTGGATATGGAGCCGAGCCATTGACCACAGCTCCATGTTGACTGTCACCAATCATTGCCTGATTTTCCACATGCCTCAGCAGTTTCCAAGAGGTCTGCTCCATGGTGCTGCCCAGCACAGAGGTGAGACTGCTCATCCTGCCTTCCCATCCGGGGGAACATGGCTGGATTGCCCTGACTCCTGAAATCCAATGGGTAGTGGCTCAGCAACATCATCCGCCAGTTCTCTCAGGACCTGTGGATGTATCTCAGTCCCATGAGCTTGTGCACCTTTAGGTTCTTTAGATGGTCTCAAACCTGATCTCCTCCCACAGCCGGTGGTTCTTCATTCTCCCAGGCCCTGCCTTTGCCTCTGCAGTGTGGGCAGTGTGGACAGAAGATGTGCCAGTGAAGATCAAGGCAAAGCCATCACTGAGTATCTCAGCCTTCTCCATGTCCTGAGTAACCAGGTCCCCCATCCCCTTCCTGAAAGCACCTACTTTTTCCCTGTTTTTCCTATTATCAATGTACCTAGAGGTGCTTTTCTCCATGCCCCTGACATCCCTGGCCAGAACTGATTCTATCAGGGTTTGGCTTTCCTAACCTGAGAGCTGGCTGTTAAGACAATTTCTCAGTATTCCTCTCAGTCTACCTGTCGTTGCTTCTACCCTCTGTAGGCTTCCTCTTAAAAGCTAAGCAAGCAGTAAAATACTTTCCCTTTCAAGTGTTTGAAGTACCATACACTGAATGACCTTTTCATTTTCCATTCACAAAGAAATAAGAAATAACTATTCTTATTTCTGATACCTGTGATTATACCAATAGCTATAACTCAGGCCTGTGAAATCCTTTAATGTAATGAGCCATGCTGGAGAGTCATTCCCCTAAAGAAAAGAGCTCAAGATGATTGACCTGAAATGGCCTCTTCATTTTTAATGAAAGGAGATCTAAATATGGCAAACATTTCCCTGTGCTACTGTCTCTCAACAGACATCTTCCTCATCAGAATCTGTTATGATTAACAGAATTGGTTATTTAATTTTAGGGGGAAACTAGCAAAAAGTCTATGAGAACTATCTGGGTTTTGTCTTTAACTGTGCAGTGATTTTTCTGTCAGGAAAAAATTGGTTTTTTCCCCTTTACTGATTCCATTGTTTGCATAAGAGAGAAGTAGCCCATTTGGCATCAGGAAGTCAGTGCTTAGAAAAATATTATGGTAAAAGAGTGGACACGTTTTTTTGGTTGTTTCACATTTGGTGTGTGCAGAGACCATTTTTACACTGTCTC